ACTACACATATAAGGACACCCACATAACTGCACAAGGGAAATACCAGAATAAACAGTGACATCTAGTGGTGTCTGCAGAAACAACAACCGACATCCTGATAGATGTATGACCCCGGGACCTCCTAATACCCTCCTACAACCTGGGAGCAGAATTAGTAATCGCTGTAAAATATATGGGAATGTTTGTTGCAGCCATGTCTGTCTAAACAGCATGCCAACATTTCAATATGCAGAATACCCCTGGGAATGTGTGTCATAGGGCTGTGCAGTCATCAGATGCTGCCAAGACCTTCAACAGCATTGAATGGTCATATCTGTGGGAGATCCTTGCTTGATCCAGGGTAGGCCCAAACTTCACAAAATGTAATAGATTTGGACACTGGTCACTGTTTGCAGAGAACGTTGCTGCATGTGAACCTGCACATCCAAGCGGGTGCTCGCGCTTGGACACCGACAGTATGTGCAGGTGGGATGGCTAGCTTCTTCTTCCTTTCAAATACCCTTAGCATTGCCACCTGTCCAGGATTCACCCGGACAGTCCGGGTTTTGAACACACTGTGTCCGGGTTTCATGGCAGCAGAAACCCGGACACAAGATGTCAGGCAGACAGGGGCAACCAAAATTAAGATAGGGGCTACTGGCACGCTACTCATTCTCCCCAAAAAAATGTCGGCGCATTGCTAGAGTGTTCGGGTTTCACTTGAGGAAAAGGTGGAAACCCTAAATACCCTTGTCCCAAAGTTGAGGGTGGAAAGACCTCTCCCCCACCTTTGGTGCTCAAAGACGTAGGTGGGGTTAATATGTGCAGGGACATAGTGGAATCTGGAAGCTCCTTTTATAATAAGATGGCAACCAGATATGAAAAAAGATATTCCCTTTCCATGGGAATGAACACAGAAGTACATTAGGACCCCCTCTCTACCCATTCCCACAAAGAAAAAAAACACACACACATGAAAAAGTCCTTTAAAAAATAAAACAAAAACACACACGTATCTGTTTTTAAAATAAAATGTATCGATATCCCAAAAAGTAATTCACGTCAATGATAAGGTCCAACAATGTCATTCTTGTCAATCATGGGTTCCGGTAATGTGATTCCATCGTCAATAGTGATGACCCAACGACCGACAATATATACATGCTGCACTCCTGTTATTAAATGACATGTCCCCTGCCCCACAGTT